CCTCGATATCGATCTGACACTTTAGACTGGGCTGAGGTCAAAGGTCACTGACAGCCAATTATTCAGTGTTTGGTCAGAGTCTGAGCTGGAGAGGTGACCCGACCTCTCCGGGTCCATCTGTGGAGCTGCTGGACTTTCAGGTATTAAAACATCAAAATGTTTAAAACTTTCAACTCCTGCAGCTTTCTTCAGAAAACCAGAGTTTTGTTTGGATCCGAGTCTTTTTCTGAGCAGCAGATTCGTTTCCGTGTCACTGACTCACAGTCAGCTGGACGTCTGGAGGCGACGGTCGTTCTGACGGTAAAACCAGCTCCTTCTGTTGGTTTCTTTATATTTCTGACAAAAGAGGGACGGAGACGTGAACACGTGTCCAGATGTCACTTTTTACTCAGATACAGGAAGGAGGAAACAGTTTGAGGACCCTCCATCAGCTCATTAACCAGTTAGAGACCCTGTTGGTCCTAACTGGTCCTGGTCTTCCACTCCAACCTCTCCACCATCGCGGGTAAAAGAGACTGGACTGAAGGCCGAGGGGACCACCATGATGGAACACATGACGACCTGTTGGGAGACTTAAAGAGATAAACAACTGTCACGTTTCACCTTCTTCTTTGTGACGTGTAAAATATTGTATTTGTTTTTTTACATTTTTTACTTCTGCACAGCGCTGTTTTGTGACTGACGCAAAGCATTCTGGAGAAAATTATGAACGTTACAGTTGAAGCTATAGGTTGACCTATAATGTGTGACAATAAAACATATTAGTTTCTAGTTTTGCACAATACATAGGTTGACACAATCAAATGTGATGTTTAGTACATTAGCTTTAAAGCTAACACTAAATATATATCCTGAGCTAATATTATTAATGTTAGCTACAAAGATAATGTTATTAGGTCTAGAGCTAATGCAATTTTTGTTAGCTCAGGAGCTAACACAATTTTTATTAGCTCAAGAGTTAACACTATATTTATTAGCTCAGGAGCTAACACAATTTTTATTAGCTCAAGAGCTAACACTATATTTATTAGCTCAGGA